ATAATTAATAGGGTTATATTTGTTATAGTTAAGTATAATTTGAAAGTCATGTAATATGTTTAAATAGTTGGGTTATGGTTGCTATGGTTATTTGCATGTTGAGTCTGTGTTAAGTGAACGAAGGCACTAAATATTTTCTGAGTGGGTTAATAGGGTTATAGTGGAATCAGATCATCAAGTTCTTCTCACACTTACAGGTTTGGTCATGTTCTCGAACAAAAATGGAACGATAAGAAACTGTTGCTATTATTTTCATCTGGCTGTGATGACAGTCGTGATGTTAACTCACCTACCGGTCAAAGGTCAACACGGCTGTCCTAATCGGGTGTTGATACGTCCGTGCACTTGTAGTGAGAAACTCGTGGGACTGGATGTCACGTGCAAAGGGACGAACGTTCATCAGCTCCGTGAAGCTATTGGTAATGTTCAACAAACACGTCAAACTGTGCGGTACCTAAAGTTCACAAATAACCACCTTCCAAAGCTACCGGCGTTACTTCTAGCGGACGTGGACGTAAAAAACATTTTGGTTTTAGACTGTAATACTTCCAATATTGATAAACTTGCATTTACGGGGCTAGGAGACAAGCTGGAAACGCTCGACCTGTCCAACAACTTATTACAACATGTTCCAAGCGGGGCATTAGGGACTTTAGGCTTACTGACATCTCTCAGTCTGAACTACAATAGGATTGAGAATATCCACGCTTCTGCCTTCCGTGGGCTTATTTCTCTTCTGAGGCTTTACTTGTACGGCAACAGGATTAAATTTATCGACAACCTTGCCTTCTTGGGAATTGGGGAGAATTTGACTCGGCTAAACCTAGGGAGTAATGGCCTCACCTCCATTCCCAGCCAATCTCTACAAAACCTTACAACTCTTCGCCGCCTCCAACTACCCCACAACCAGATTACCGTCATCCTGCCAGAAGAACTCAGACCTGTGGGGGCTCACCTCGATACCCTTGACCTTGCCCAAAATCTCCTAGAAGAAATCCCAGATGGAGCTTTCGAGTTCCTGCCTGCCCTGAGTTCCTTGGATTTGGAAGGAAATTGTATATCATACATTCATCACGGAGCATTTAATGGCCTTGAAGGTAACTTTCTAACAAATATTATACCTTTAAAATTTGAAGTTAACTTTCTAACAAATATTATACCTTTAAAATTTGAAGTTAACTTTCTAACAAATATTATACCTTTAAAATTTGAAGTTAACTTTCTAACAAATATTATACCTTTAAAACTTTAAGTTAATATTCTAACAAATATTATACCTTTCAAATTTGAAGTTAACTTTCTAACAAATATTATACATTTAAAACTTGAAGTTAACTTTTTAACAAATATTATTCCTTTAAAACTTGAAGTTAACTTTCTAACAAATATTATACATTTAAAACTTGAAGTTAATATTCTAACAAATATTATACCTTTAAAATTTGAATTTAACTTTCTAACAAATGTTATACATTTAAAACTCGAAGTTAACTTTCTAACAAATATTATACAATTAAAATTTGAAGTTAACTTTCTAACAAATATTATATCTTTAAAACCTAATTCTCATAACTGTTACATCTAAAGCTTAATGGTCGTAACTATAATAAGCCTTGACTATCAGATTAAATAGTTTTTATAGATGGTTTATGTACTACCTGAAACGTTCCTTTTTCATCAACGTCTTCATCCATCAATTAAATGCTGTGTGTCTATCACTTCGGTTTATTTACCAAAGAAAGGACAAATGGTTATGATGAATTTACAATGACATTGTAATTAACTTCTCAATCTAAAGTTTGATACAATAACATTGTTAATTAGCTTCTCAATCTAAAGTTTGATACAATAACATTGTTAATTAGCTTCTCAATCTAAAGTTTGAATTGCGATTTTCCAACAATTCTCTTTGTTTACATTATGCCTTTTTTTCACTGTTTACAGATTGCTACAATTTGTTTAAATCATGCTTTTCTTCCAAAATTCACGGATTATTTTATACTTGGTAGATACGCTGGAGTGGGTGAAATTAGGTAGGAATAACCTCGTCTCCATACCGATGACCTCACTCCAAAATCTCTCTCTTCTTCGACAGTTAGACCTGCGTGGAAATAATATTTCTCGTGTAACAGAACACGCTTTTTGGCCTTATGGAATAAGACTGAAGTACATATATCTCCAGGATAATCAGTATGTACCAGATAGATAGATGCATTTTTACCAAAACGTAACCGTTATACTAGTGTATACATAATATCTATAGATAATGTTACATATTCACACGCGTTTAAATTTGTTTTCTATAATAAACCATCAACATTGTTGAATCCAGTTTTTAAATAATTCTAATTCACAATTTTGTTTGCTCACATATGTTCTAATATAGTCCATAATTTCAATCTGTTAATAATGAAATTCAATACCATTTACTCTACTTATTTAAGTTGCGAAATATGATATTTTTACGTCTCACACCAATAACTATACATGATACCCTTACTTAAGGTAATAATAAAACTACATATTTCAATTAATTTAGAACTATATTTCTTACACGGGTATATGAGGAATATGATTCAACTTCAGAATTTTACAATAAATTAATAAACCAGGAATATGATACAACTTAAGAATTTTAAACCGAACTAACCAATGTGGAATATGATTCAACTTCAGAATTTTACAATAAATTAATAAACCAGGAATACGATACAACTTACGAATTTTACAATAAATTAATAAACCAGGAATACGATACAACTTACGAATTTTACAATAAATTAATAAACCAGGAATACGATACAACTTACGAATTTTACAATAAATTAATAAACCAGGAATATGATACAACTTAAGAATTTTAAACCGAACTAAACAATGGGGACTACGATACAACTTACGAATTTTAAACCGAACTAAACAATGGGGACTACGATACAACTTAAGAATTTTAAACCAAACTAACCAATGAGGAATATGATTCAACTTAAGAATTTTACAATAAATTAATAAACCATTAATACGATACAACTTACGAATTTTACAATAAATTAATAAACCAGGAATACGATACAACTTAAGAATTTTAAACCAAACTAACCAATGAGGAATATGAGTCAACTTCAGAATTTTACAATAAATTAATAAACCAGGACTACGATACAACTTACGAATTTTAAACCGAACTAAACAATGGGGACTACGATACAACTTAAGAATTTTACAATAAATTAATAAACCAGGAATATGATACAATCTACGAATTTTAAACCGAACTAAACAATGGGGAATATGATTCAACTTCAGAATTTTACAATAAATTAATAAACCAGGAATACGATACAACTTACGAATTTTAAACCGAACTGAACAACAAGGAAAATTATCCACCTACAAATTTTTAAAACAAACTAGCCAAAGAGGAATATGATCCAACTTCTGAATTTCACATCAAATTAATTAATCATTAATATGATTCATTTAGAATTTTATCACAAATTAATAAACTTTGAATACTGTCCAAATTCAGAATTTTTACATTTAACTAATTGAGAATAAATATAATCAAAACTGAAAATTTCAAAACAAATTAATAAAACTGAAAATTTCACAGTAAATTAGTCCAACAGAAATATGATCCAAATTAAAAATTTCTCAATAAATTAATCGACCAAAAACACATTGCAAATTCAGGATTGTATAATAAATTACAAGTAATATGGTCCAAATTTTAGAATTTCATGACGAACTAATAAATCAGAAATATAATCAAAATTCAGAATTTCAAAGCAACTTAATCAAACAGAAATGTGATCTAAACTTAAACTTTCACAATAAATTAGTCAAACAGAAATATGATACAATTTTAAAATTTCACAGTAAATTAAACCATTAAAATATATTTCAATTATACTTGTAACTAAAATCTTTTATCATCCAGAATTTCAGAAATTGAAAATAATGCTTTTTTTCCGATCAACAACACGCTACGGTGGCTCTACCTGCAGGGGAATAGACTGACTACTCTTCATAAGACGACATTTCAACATATACTCGAAAATTTAGTGATTTTAGATGTTCACAGTAAGTATTTTGCTTCCAGAATCTCTTTTATTAGAATTCTTGAACAAATCTTTAGTGTTCCTCAAAATAGGAATATCTTTATAGAAAGTAATTTGTATTTAAAAAGTAGCTCATCAAAGTGAATTGAAATATCTCTTTTGTACTTTACTAAACCAATTCGTTTAAAGTGTGCTTCATGTGTCTTCGTGATGTACATAGCATTCTTAATAAGTGGGTTGAATCACATTGGAAATGTACGCCAATGACGAGAGTTTTTAAAAAAATAAAAATTCAAAGAATACTACTCTGTCAGGAAAATGTTTTAGGTAATCATTAAGGTGGTTGGAGCTATTAGCTTCTTTATTTTTTATCAAAAGCATATCGTAAAAACATTGAAACCATACTGGACTGCTGTGTGTAAACAGGAGCCACTAGTGGTGTTAATCAATGTCTTTCATCGGTTAGTTACGAGGTTCTTCATTATTGTACAAAAGAGGAGAAATACATT